TCTTTCCCTTCTTTACATGCTTTCTATAGTATTCTTGTCTCTTAAGTGCTGGTTGAATGATAAGTTATTTATTGAAACCCAGATTGCACGCAATGAAGATATGTTTGAACAGATTGGAAAGGATAAATTCTTTGATCTAGTGGATCATGATAAAGTACAAAGTTTTCGCATTCCAAAACAAATGCCATTTATCTTGTTTAAGGTATGAACTGTTATTTTATCATTCTGTTTGTACAAAATAATTCATTTGTGTGGCCATCAATACTCTATTTTATCCCATTCAAACTATTTTCATTTGGAATTTAGTTTCATCTTTCAGTTACATGAATAAATTTTTAAGATATATAATTGTTTAAGTGGAAAATCGCATCAAGTTTTAGTTTGGTTATGATTACTGTTTATTTCATTCAGGAAAAAAATGATTACACACACCTAAGTGATCACAGCTATGTGCCTTTTTTCCCCTTTTGAAGAGCACTTTTTATTTATTAAAAGAAGCAGAATTTGACTTTTTTGATGTATGTCTAAATTTTTAAAAAGTTACTTCTTAAAAATCCTTTTTTATTTAAAAATTTAAACACCCTATATAAAGTTGACCTACGAATATAACTAAACTGTAGCTAACTGAAAGTTAGTTACATGTACAACTGTCAGCGTAAAATGAAAAATAACAACTAGGCATGGTAATACAGAAATAGAATAAAGAGTATAGTAGAAGCAATAAGAGAAAAATACACATGAAATGCATAGTAAAACTCTTATGATCTAGTAGTTATAAAAGTATGAGATTTCTATTTCCTGTTTGACATTTTCTTCTTTTCTCTTGTTGGGGTTATGCAGTAGGTTTTTTTATGCCCTATGAAACTATTTTTTTCATGGATCTGTTTCTTTTTGTCTTGATGAAAGAACAACTCCCTTATCAGTTGTTTTGAGAACTCGTGTGAGAGAGCATGACACAGATGTAATATAAAGTCATTTATGCATCTTAACCTCATTGGTTAACCTTTTGGGTACATGGTTTATGACACCCATTTTACATAAAATGAAATTTCTGGAACAGAGCTCAATTAAATTGCCAAACCAGCAAGAACTGCAGCAAAAATAATCCAGTAAACACCCACTAGATCAAAATCCTTATTGGTCCCAATAAGTTCTGTCTTCCAGCCATCAGTAGCAGTTGAGTGCAAGCAAGGACCCAGTTGAACCAACCACTAATCAATGTCACCCCCAGCAGAGATTATTGAACTAAGATTATTTTTTAGCAATGATTCATTGCTGTGTAAATGTGTTGGAATTCATATTTTAGAGAATGTACTTATCTTTGCTAACCTTTATAATTCTCTTTTATATCTGCTGAAACAAAACTTGATTCTTTAATTTCATCGTTTATTTCTGACAATGAAGTCTTTATCAGGAAAAATATGCTAAAGAGTTTCATATACCTGTCCCATGCCAACGGTTTTGGTTGTGGGCAAAGCGCCAAAATCACACATACCGGCCAAATAGGCCATTGACACCTCAGGAGGAAACTCGACCGGTGGGTTCTTAAACCAAATTCTGATATCATGTCCTTAAAATCATAAGTTGGTAGACATGAATTCAACATAGAAAACAATTATGATTGTTTTTTTATCATTTGTAGGTTGGAGAGTTGAGGGAGATTTCCAATAAGGCAAGTAATGCAGAACTGAAGTTATTTTTGGAACTTGAAATAAAGCAGGTACTGTTGTTTCATGTAATTTCACCTCAGTTGCTGATATTTTGGTAGTGACTTTTAAAATGTATATGACCTTGTTGAAGTGACTTGTAATTGACAAGGATTTGTTATTTATATGTTGCACAATGAATTAGGGTTTTGGGTTTGTTCCTCCTCCTATGAAGACAAAAGAAGATTTGTTGCTATTCTTTAAGCTTTATGACCCTTCACAAGAAAATCTGCGGTACTTGCTCTTGCTATTACCTTTTAGAGTGGAACTATGTATAATTACACAAATGCCTTTTCTTTTCTCAGGTATGTTGGGAGGCTTTATGTCAAAGCTAGTGGGAAGCCCTTGGATATATATTCAACGCTAAATCAAATGGCGGGATTTGCTGTTGATGAAGAAATTGAACTTTTTGAGGTTAGTTGATCTGCATCACATGTATCTTTATTTTTCATGATTGCACTCTAAAAGAAGAGTAAGAATGCTTTCTTTCTTTTGTTCTCATCCAGGAAATCAAATTTGATCCTCGTGTCATGTGTGAACATGTTAATGAGATGTTATCGTTCCAAATCAATCAGGTATAAATTACTCGTGATTAACTATAGTTTTTTTTAGCTTTCTATGTTGTTGTTTGACATATTTTCTTTTGTAGTTTATTGCAAACAACCATCTGCATCCTAAATTGTATTCTATTGGTTCACCTAATTGATTGCAACTTTTGCTTTTACCCTTGGGAAGCTCGAGGACGGTGATATTATTTGCTATCAGAAAGCCCCCAAAGCTGGAAGTGGCGAGCAATTTCACCATCCTAATGTTCCTTCCTTCTTGGAATATGTGCATAACCGTCAGGTTTGAAATTTTGTATCCTCAATTTTAAATATTTCCTGTTCTAAGCATGTATACAGAAAATAACTGGTACAAATTTGATAAGGATAATGCTGCGGCCTTTATCCATTCATTCAAGTTGAAATCTCCACATTTGCACAAATAGTTTGAAAGTTATCCTCTTGGTCATGTTTTTAATTGAATCTCCATCTGAAAAATAATAGACACATCATTCAAACATTGGCCAGGTATTTGAAAACATTAAGGATTGTAACGAATAGAAAAATTGAAAAAACTAAATGTGCATACCTATATTATGATTCAAGAACCAAATAGAAAATGTTTGAATGGAATGCGAGAAGATATGCAGAGTTTCTTTGTAAAGAGGTCAAAGCCACATAGAATATGACCTGGACTAACTAACACAGTACCACCAGCCTGGCAGTCAGTTAACTTTTACAATCCGATGCTAAACAGTGACAACTGTCCCATTTACTTGTGCACAGATGACCCTAAGAACTGTATTGTAGAAAACTGAAAATTTAGTACAACAGTATACATAGAGAGAGAGTTTGGTGACTCTAACCGTCATGCTAACTCAGCATTTAACCAAGAGTTCTATAACAGCATGTTACATATATACAGAGATTATAGCTACTATATACCCTGATAGCACCCCTCTCAAACTAAGGCTGCTGGTGGAACAATATGTAACCTATGTTTGGCATGTAGCTCAATTAACCGCAAGGCAGACTGTGGCTGAGTGCAGGAATCTGCAATCTGATCAGTGCTGGGGGGACACGGTGAACAGTGAGCCTTGGAAAGGAAGATACTTAGCAAGGGAATCTGCACCCTGGAAAAGTGAAGATCCAACTCAAGATGTTTCATTCAAGGATGAAGAACTGAATTGTGGGAGAGAGAGAGAGATAGCACAAAAGTTGTCACAAAATAGCATTGGAAAACTAGTAGGAACTAGTAGTTCTGCTGCTTTGTGAATCATACTTCTGTACTCTGCTTCAGTGGTGGATGTTAGATAACAAAAAGGTTAAAACAGTGATGATATTTCTCATTTCATTTTCATACAAAACAGAATGTAAGGGGAGCATCTTATAGACGCTACCCCTCTTAATACAGCTGTAGGATAGATTTACTAAAACAAAAAAGAGACAGGTGGCATACAACACACCTGCAGGAATATTCTGTTTGTTATAGGGTATAGTACATATTACATAGAACCTTTCAGGTACCTGAGAATCCATTTAATTGTCTTGTCTGCCAATGAGATCCTAAAGGATTGGATACAATGAATTCTTTTTGGATGAGTAAGAGTGAGAGGTATTATAGATCCCTTACTATAGACTGATGCAAATGAGGATCAGATACAGTCAGCGCCAAATTTGCTTACTTAGCTGTCGCTAACCACGGTGTGGAAATGCCCTTGGCATCAATCATGTTGGTGTCAATTAGCAGTATAGTATCATACAAAATTTGCATTGTGTCACTATCATTAGTTAGTGATATTTATTAACTTGGCTTCAAATTGATGTTCAACTTGATGTGTATTTTGAGGATATATCTGGTAATCATTTTGAGCAGTTTGATTTAGTTTGTTGCTTCATGTTTGTCTTGATTGTGTGATCTTTTGTTGGAAATGGTTAGATTAGATGGTTAGTTTATTTGTTTATTTGATTTTGGTAAATTTTTGTTCTTGGAAAATGGTAACAATGTAGCAAAAATTATTTGATTTTTGGAGACTAGTTTTGTGTATAGCCTATTGATTCAATTCCTTTTAAATAACCTTCATTTATTGTCAGGTTGTACGCTTTAGGATTTTGGCGAAACCCAAAGAAGATGAATTCAGTCTTGAGTTGTGAGTTTCTTTTGGTACCTACATTTAATTTTATGTTATGATTAATTTTTTAAATTCATGTGCTTAGTGGAAAAAAATGATGTTCGTGCAAATAAACCTTCATAATTTACCATGAAAGCTCTCAGATAACACCATTTCTCATTGATCAAGATATGTGGACCTGCAAGTATATCTCTTCTTGTAATTAAAATGTATGTGGTAATTCATATATGTTCTATGATCATCTAGGTCAAAGCTTCACAAATATGATGATGTTGTTATGAAGGTTGCTCAACATATTGGTTTGAGTGATCCTTCGAAAATCAGACTCACATCTCATAACTGCTACTCACAACAACCTAAACCACAGCCTATCAAGTACCAAGGAGTTGAACATTTGTCTGACATGCTGATTCACCTCAATCAGGTATTATAATCAAGTCCAAATCTTTCTTAATATGTTCTGTTACATTTTAAAATCCTTGCAATTTGCAAGGATTAATAAATGGCTCTGTTTTACTTGGGCTTCTGATATTGTTAATTTTTTTCTTTTGGTTTTGATTTTAGACTTCTGATATACTGTACTACGAAATATTGGATATCCCTCTGCCAGAATTGCAATGCCTAAAAACACTTAAAATTGCTTTCCATCTTGCTACCAAGGATGAAGTGAGTAGCATCAGTGGTTTTATTTTCTTTTTTCAATATGAATGGGTTATGTTGAGTTTTATACTTCTAACAGAGTTATAATTCCTAGGTGGTGCTTTCTACTATTAGATTACCGAAGCAGAGTACAGTGGAAGATGTACTTAATGATATTAAATCAAAGGTAAACCATTTAACTGAAGTTGATACTGTATCCTGTAAGCTATGTTTGAATAACTTGAAGACATTGACTTGCTTGCTAGTATGCCTAATCCAACAATCTGATTTCATAAGTATTTTGTGTTATCTGAGAGTATTTTAAAAGCAGCCAGTCACCGTTTAAAATTTCCTTATTGAAACTAATTGAATTAGAAACTTTTTGTATATTTGAGCATGTGAATAGCTTAGGTGCATACGAAAATTTAGATAAATTTTATATTCAGATACCTTGGATTCCTGTTGGTAATTAGTTAGGTGTTTGTTAGTGAAGTAATTAGTTAGGATAGTTGGGTGAGCTGAACAGGGGTGGATAGAAATCTTGCTACTGAGGACAACCAGGAAAGTGGAAACTTAGAGGGAACAAGAAGTTAGCATTTGTGATCAAGATTGAGAGTAAAGGTTGAGACAGAGAATGTACTCAAGGCAATGGATACTTCTATGTTTGAAAAGGGTCTTTATTTCATAGAGGGAGACCATCTTTTGGGTTCTGGGATGGAAGGGCAAACACATTTTCCATTGTTTGGCTAATATAGTGGAAGTGAAGACTGATAAGAAAATTGCCGTATGTGTTGTACAATGGTGGAACAAAGATGGAAGGAACTTCCAAGAACCATGGAGGTTTGAGTTTCACAAAAGATGCTCAACCCACCATCATCATCACTGAATCCACCATACTCGGTTTCTCCCATGCAGACAGATTGGTTCAGTTTTGGTCCTCAAACATGTTGACGAAGGTTAGAACAGTCAAACTCAGGTAATTATAAAGTGGTTGATGGGAGGATTGTGGAGGAAGCCAATTTATTCAATTGAGATCTAAGGTTCATCAAGAATACTTTATTCGTTCCTTTGGATTCTGAAGTCTGAACCAGTTCTATCATCACCTACCTCCACACTAGATTTATATCATTCTTTTATTTATTTATTTATTTATTTTTATGTATAGTATGGTTCTGATGAAAAATAAAAACATTCAAATTCTTAGTATCTAAATTCAATTATAATATACTGAATTCCTAAGGTAGATATCTTTGATATGCCCTGTATAAGTATAATTGACTCAGCCATAATTCTAATTCTCTTGTGCAATTCCCATTTAAGAAACCAAAATCACCTTGTGACAGAAAGACTGCTTGATAGTGAGAGACAGGGACTGTTTCCTTTATCTAATACAATGTGGTCCTCATCTGTTAGATTTGTTTATACTGTTGTTATTGACTGGATTTAACTATCCTCTTGTCTATTTGAAGCAAACATTTGTTTATTTTTCCCTCATTGTATTCTTTTGGTAGTATGTGTCAAACACTTGTAGTTTCTGTTACTTGAAATGTATTGGAACTAATATTTTGCATTATGTGAAATAGGTGAATTTATCTCATCCTGATGCGCAACTAAGATTGCTCGAAGTTTTCTATCACAAGATATATAAGGTAGTGAATCATCATCATGCACTTTTTGTTTTTTTAGTTCAAATACTAGTCTTACCAGTAAAGCATTTCCTTGAGTTGACTAATTTTATTTGTCCTCATTGTCATGAGGTGAAAAGCTGATTGATCTGCATCAATATCGGCATCATATAAATGCCGTTAGGCAGTATGGCCTCATTATTGACAACCATGTTCAAAATTTTTATTCTATTATTCTCTTAATCACTGGCTTGTTTCATTATCGCTTGGTGGACAGATAAAAAATTAGTGTTTTTTCTGTCTAAGTAGTATCTTTTCTGTTTGAAGAGTTGGAAATAGGGTATGTTAGTGTGCTTTAGATGTTGGGCCAATAGGACCAAACCCATTTATGTAGTTATATATGTATTATCCTTGTAGCCCTTTTCATGGAGTGAAATAATATCTTTTTATTTGCTCCTACTTGAGGGGGAGTGTTAGAACTGTAGTAAATTGGATATGTTAGTGTGCTTTAGATATCAGGTGAATAATCCCAAGCCTATTTATGTAGATTATATGTATTATCCTTGTAAGTTGTAACCGTTTTCTTAGAATGAAATAATAACTTTGTTCACCTTCAACATTTTCATTTTGTTCTGAAATTATGATTTTATTTTGCTGATCTTTCTCAACTTTGTCAATGAGAATGAAGTTTGACATATCCATTTGAAAGCAACTGATGTGCAGGGAAAGGAAAATCTATTGGCATATCAATTTATTTTTGTTTTTGGAAGTTATGTCTCTGGTTGTATTATACTGCTTATCAACATGCTATTCTATAACAATGTTTACGACATTTGTTAGGAGTTGCTTCATTTGTCTGATTTACTTATTGTATATCAGCCTGCTTATTGAAATTGGGGAGCTTTAGTCGTAATATTTTGATCTACCTTTTGCAGATTTTCCCTCTAAGTGAAACGATTGAGAATATTAATGATCACTATTGGACACTAAGAGCAGAGGAGGTGATTTTGTTTTTTAGCTTTGTTATATGTATTGTTTAGTTAGTTTTCAAATACAACATCTTGATCAGACAGATACTATTTTTCATGCGAGACATTACTTGGCCTGGGTTGGTGGAGAATAATATTTTGAAGACTAAAAATTTGGGGCTGTGGTTCGTTGTGAGATGTGGATTTTTTATATAAGTTTAAGAAAACCAGTACCAAAGATTCTGATTTTTTTCTTTCAATTTTCAATGTAGTTTTAGACATTTTTGAAATGTTTAACCCGTAATCAACATTGTCCATTGAAAAGGTTGATAATTTAGTTATTGTTTGACTCAAGGAGTCAAGGCTAAGATCAAATTTTAGTTTTACTTGGAGATTGTGATTGGTTTGAGAATAATAAAATGAAGTGTAGTTGTCAGTTACTATTCCTAATGTCATTTTGTTATTATGACATGATGTTATAATTTTTCTAGTGCATAATTTCTGTTACAAATATAATGCTGTTTTTTACTATTGAAGATTCCTGAAGAAGAGAAAAGTCTTGGTCCTCATGATCGATTGATTCATGTTTATCATTTCATGAAAGATACCACTCAAAATCATGTGGTAAGATCAAATGTCTTGTATTTCTATAATTTTTCAGTGCTTCTTCTATCCAAATATAATTCTTTTTCCTAGTAATTGAATCATATTACTGCTTCCAATTTTTTATTTTTCTGATGCTCACTTTTTTTCTTTCTGTTTTCTTATTTTGTTTGGCGGGGGGTGGGGTTTGAAACTTGTGGAAATAGCAGCAAATTCACAATTTTGGAGATCCTTTTTTGTTTGCTATACATGAGGGTGAGACATTGTCTGATGTCAAATTACGGATACAGAAAAAGTTACATGTTACTGATCATGAGTTTTCAAAGGTATATATGAATGCGTTAATTCAATTATCTGCTTTTAGATCTTGGTCAACTTTTCACATTATAATCAAACTTCCATGTGAAAGTTGGACCATTTGTTTTGCAGTCCTTCTTTTCTGTGTAGATTTAACAAGGCTTTATTTCACAATTGATATTTTTTGTTCCAGTGGAATTTTGCATTTGTGTTACATGGTCGTCCTGAATACCTACAAGATTCAGAAATTCTTTGTGCTCGGTTTCAGGTTTGTCAATCTTCTCTCGTGTAATTTTCATGTTGGTTGTGTATGTATAAGTCCGTGGCTGGAATCTGTTTAGGATTATTGTTTGACCTCTACATGATTAAGTTGTTATGACGTTGCACTGTTTGATTGTTTAGAGAAGGGATATATATGGTGCTTGGGAGCAGTATCTTGGACTGGAACACACTGATCATGCTCCGAAAAGGTCATATGTGGTCAACCAGGTAAATATTGGGGGCTGTCTTCCTTTCCCTTGGGGTATTGCCCAACATAGTTGTGTTGGTGGCACTCTGTCTTAAACCCTGAAATGTGGATCTAGCTGGCAGTTATTCAAAATTTAGGGTAGTTTAAAACAACACGTTATATAAAGAAAACAATAGTAGTAATTTCCATGCATGGTTAATTCATATATTCTGTTATATCTAACTTCTATGAAAATATAGCAACATAGAATTAGTTTTGAACCTGTATCCTTATATCTTCTGATGATACTGATAGCAATAAAAATCCGGACTAAATGGATAGGGTTGAATAGTTTTGGATTCTAGGGTTGAATAGTTTTGGTTTCTAGAATCTAGGTTGCATTGTGGGAAATATTTTGTTAACCTGAATCATCTTGATTATTACATATATGGAATTAAATGCATTAATTTCTATATATAATTAATATTTTTATTGTTATATATAAGAAAACCTATCCAGAAACTAAGTATGGAAGAGTCTTGTTCTAAAATGTTTTAAGAGATCTAAAAGATTTTCAGATAATGCAAACTTGATATGGTATAACAAGAAGTTCTGATATATGCAGTGGAGCTCTTGTATGGACTTCGATTTTTTCCAATACACCCCCTTAATGTCCATTATTATTAGGTTTTCATGGGTAGATAAATGGTGAATGACCCATTTTAACGATCTTGGATAGCCGATACTTGAGTTTCTTTTTCCCAGTAATTTATACTCCAATTTTAGAGTTTGGTGGAAATCTATAGGAGGGAAATAAAATATACATGATGAACAACCCTATGCAGGGTACAGTGAAGGCCTTTTCACACTTTGGACAACAAAAGAGTTTTTATTTCACTTGTTGAGGCTTTGGGCCATTAAAATTATATTTCATGGGGCTCGGTCTAGTATGAAAATGCATGCTTACTTTGTATAATAAAAAGGAGTTTATATTTCACCATTGAGACTTTGGGTAATTATGGGGCAAAGTCTAGTGTGCAAATGCATGAAGGGATAATAGGTTTAATTATTTTTATATGATGTAGTCTAGCATGAAAAGTGTTTTTATATGGGCTCGCCATAAATGTTGCCTTTGAGCTGTGTTATGATTTAATTGATTGAGAGAGTTGAAAAGTAATTCATAAATGTATTGTTCTGAATTGAGAATAATCGATTACAACAGTCCAGGGCAAGCTATTTATAGTCACAGCAATAACTAACTCCTAATGGACAATTGGACGTCTTTGAATACAGTTCTGTTAGTTACACAGAACAATCTGAAAAATATAATATACAAAAGTATACTGAAGTAGGCTGTTGATATACTCGAATATTAAAAAATTTTCATTTCTCTCTTGAACTCTAACACTAGTCTACCATTTTCATATTAGTATTGGATATACTTGCTGGGAAAATTGAAGAGCCGAATCAGTGCTCATCTTTTGTCGAATCATGGTAAAAGGAGTTAATTCTCAAATTACGTTGTCAAAGGAACTTTGGAATCGTTAGGGTTCAGTAAAATAGAGGCAAGACAAGGTAATGGAATGCAAGATTGGGCAAGGCTATAATCAGCAGTGTTTTGAGGTGAAACTAGGAATCACATTAAATCACAAGTTGCATGGTTTAATTATCTTGAATCCATATTTAAAACATGATGGGGGATATTAATGAGAATGTTACCGAGGATGTAAGTTGAGCGAAGGAAGTTGTGAAATGTTCCTCGAATAATTTATTCTAACATAGTGCCTAACTGAAGGATCATTCGGTCAACTAGCAACCATACCAACAATGCTCTGTAGGCTATAGTAGTGGGTGTTGGTAATGAAATTCTCTACAAACGAAAGATAGAGTTATAAGCTTGTTTGTTTTGAGATTTTTTTTTTTCATCTCCTGTTTTTTACAATAAATACAAAAATGTCCCCTTGTGAAACCTTGTTTCTTATTTTCAATGGTTTGTACAATAGAAAATAGTGAAAACAACAAAAAGACTTTTCATAAATATTTGGAAACATGAAACAGAGTGAAAATAAGGTGGTGGTATTATTGTGGTTTTGGCATCACATTATTATAAGATAAAGCCTTGTTAGTGCAAAATTGTTATTATGGCAATATGTTCGGGTTCTGGTAACTTAATCTAAATGCAATAGCATTTGAATATGAGTCACTGGAAATAATTTTATGTTGCAGGTTTCAGAAGTCTACAATGATTATTTCTCAATTTTGCAGAACCGTTACCCATTTGAGAAGCCTGTAAAAATCTACAACTAGGAAAGATCTGTATCATCTCAATCAGTCGGTATATAGTACCTTATGACAATGACACTTGCAGTTTTATGAAGGTGACAATAGAGGTGTAGTGTAGAGATACTATCAATCTTCCCATGAGGAATGTCTATTCAATTTTGTTGCTTCATAGCTTAGGGTATAGATGTATAGCCTTGATCTGTTTGCTTGTGGATAAAACTCATTCTCTCAATCTTCACTCATGTATTTGTTCTTATGTTTTTAAATAGTTAATAAGATTTTGGGTCGGGTTTTGTATATATATATATTATAGTATACTTAAACTGTCTGCGCCTTCTATTATTGGCTTTTTCATGTGCGTTCCTCAGGGACGTAAGATCGGGATTGTGTATATATTTTTGCTGGTTCTTCAATGTAATTATTAAACTTATATTAGAGGCATATTGGTTTGTATAAAAGAAACAGTAGTTTGCCCTCAGGTTGTTACTGTGTTGAAGCGCCGTTCTAACGGATCTATACCTGTCATTTGTTTTGCCCTTCCCATGACCATGATGCAGGGTAAGAAAGAGGGTCAACTTCAGCACAGTAACCCTGTGGATTGGTCATATATGTAATAAAATTTTATGGATCTTACACTATTTAACGAGTTTCTCACCTGATTTTGTACCATTCAATAAAAATTAATGTGTTAAAAGCAGTATATTGCTTTCAGACTATTTAAGTTAGCACTGTATCTTCATTTGTAGATATATTTCTTCCCATATATCAATGTCAGGGGTTTACTTGTTTGTTGAGTAATAAATTCTTAGGGGGGTGTATTGGATTAGGATTTTAAAGGACTTTTTTAGTTAAAAAAAATCCTGCGGATTTTCATGACTTTTTAGATTTTACAGGACTTTACAAGACTTAAAATCAGGATTTTAATGGATTCTGCAAGACTTTTAAATCAGGATTTTAATGGATTCTGTGGAATTTTGTGGATTTTGTAGAATTTTCGTGGATTTTTTTACATTTGATAAGATTTCAAAAAAAAATTCATACATTCAAATTTAAAAAGAGTCAAAGACAAAAATAATAAAAAAATAATAATATCTAGATAAATAATAATAATAATAATTCTCCATAATATTCTATCCTCTTAAATAACATTCACCCACATATCCATAGCATACTAGTCCTCCAAGTATTAGCGTCTTTTCGCTCTTGCTCCTGAGTTTGAATAATAGGCTCAAAACTATGATCTTTGTTAACCGGTAACATTGAAGATGAAGGTTCATCCACCGCTTCAATTGGAAATTCATCGGAACGACATTCTTTACGTAGAAAGTTATGTAGTAATGCACATACTAATACAAGTTCTACTTGTGTCTTAAATAAAAATGGAGGTGTTGACTTAAAAATTGTGAACCTTGATTTAAAAATACCAAATATTCTCTCGATCACATTCCTTAAAGACGCATGATGAAGATTGAACAATTCTTTCTCATTTTCAGGGTCATTACCCTGACCTGCAAAATCTTGTAGATGATATCTTATACCTCGAAATGGAGCTAAAAATTGGTGTCGATTAGGAAATTCACAATTCACCAAAAAAATATTTACCTAATTACATATGTAATATATATAATATTAGTATAATAAAAATTATAATTATAATTATTATTATTATTCAAAGAATAACAATTTAGATATAGAGAATATATATATATATATATATT